GTGACAACACTCTAGTACTACTGATGTTAAACTATTTCAATTTCCACCAAATAAATACCACATCAGGCATATATTGACGGTAGGATCTGCAACGGAAGTCAATATAACATTTTCTTAAAAGTATATAGACACCTTGCATTATTAATTGCTTGCATGGACTAAACGCTTGTTGTAAGGCTGTCAATATACTGCTTAATCGCGTTCAATCTGGGAGTGTGATAATATTAAATTGACAATACATCCTATCCTTCCCAAAAAAAAAGAAAACTTCATAAATATTAACACCTTCCCGCAAAGACTAGTGTTGATATGTGAACTGATGAAAAGGTACTAATAAACACATACCTACTTCAACAACAAAATAAAAAAATAAATAAATAAACAGAGGCAACTCTCGATCGTAACGATCGTCAACAATATAAACAATAAAAGAGGCCCATGCCCACTGGAAATCGAAATCGAATTACACCCGTGCATCGATTTGATTCTATAATAAAAAAAGGTTTTACCATTATCCTTCCCTTTAAGGCAGGGTAACTGTCACCTGACTTTATGGCTGACGGCAAGCTTCTTGTAATCCTTCGTCTTAAACACCGACTCGGGCGCCAGGTCAACGACCTTGGCAGTTTACTGTTAAAAGGGGCATAAACGAAATATTGGTTTCAGCAGTTGCTTTTGTTCTCTTTAATTTAAATAAATAATATGGTTATAAACATTTGTTTGATTGTTTGTCACTCTTCCTACTTTATTACGACGAATCTGGGCTAGACGTATTCTTGGCCAAATTTAATTATTTAAACACAACGTAGACCGGGTCCTTTCCATTACAGAAATTGGTGCCTAGTGACCAGGATAATAAAGTTATTAAAGGGAAAAGTGACTGACATGAAAACAAAAATTAATTAGCCGATCCATAATGATATTCCTTGCAACGGTGTGAGCGCTTAAAAAAATTACAGGTATCCAAGCCATGTCCGAAGAAAATGTGGGTATCGAAAACCCCGAGGAACCTGTCCCAGCGTGGTTCCGCATCTGGGAACATGGGATGCAACAACAGCTGATGCGAATACAACAGAGCAACCACGATGCCATCCTCAGCGCCGTCACCAGCCTACGTGAAGTCAACCCCGGTGCGACGCTAAGCGTCGTACAGCCGCCGTCCGAAGAGATTATCATGCACGCCGAGTCGCCTGCCTCGCCAACGATTTCGACCGACAGAACTGACAGTTCCTCTCGAACAAGCTGCCGTTAACGACCAAGGGCAGGTAGACCTGAAACAGCTGTTGTGGGGTGTAATGACGCAAACCGACCTACTACCCGACAAACCGACTTTCTGGGGCGATGATAGAGTCAACCCTGTACGGTTTTTAAAGAAGTTGGAGGCGTATGGGAAAGCTAGTTTTCGGAAGCCGCACCAGATGTTGGATTTGGCGCTCGCTCGTTTAAAGGGCGAGGCAAAACAGTGGGCGGTCTTATACAAAAACGTATGACGACTTTAAAGCCGCTTTACTACGTACCTATTGGAATACCAAGAAACAGAGAGAAGTGCGCTATAAGATAAGTCACGATCGCTATGAACCGACGAAGGGAGACAGCTTATTTGGACACTTCGCAAAACAGGTCGAACTAGCGTCTCTGTTAACACCTGCGATTCCTCCCGACGAGTTGCTCGCGAATTTAGTACAACATTATCCCGAGGACATGCAAAATTTGTGGATGGTGAAAGGATCGCAAACAGTTATTGAGTTCGGCAAGTTTTTACGGCAGTATCAAGACACCGTACAAAATAGGGGCCAAAATAAACCGATCGAAAGGAACGACCGTCGGCTACAGCGAGGAGACCGTTTTAAGAGCGCTGTGGTGCGTCGTCGTGAGACATCTCGGGATCGCCGCCCGGAAGCCCAAGCACCAAACCGACCGCAAACAAGCACTACCATCGACACCGCACGGCCAAATCCGTATCGTTGGTCAAAGGGTCAGCCGCAACAAAAAAATTTAGGACAACAAAATAAACCGCCCCACAAAGAGTCGGGAAACGCATCGGGAGCGCCGAACCGGACCTAAGTCGACGTACCCCGTTAGTTAGAGGTCAAACATGTATTGCGACCATCACAGTATCGGAACCAATCAAAAACCTAAACGAACTTTATAGTACCGGGTGGAAACTCGTTACTGCACAAGGTTGGAAACCTGGTTCCGGTTTAGGAAAAAGACGACATGGAATGCAAACACCGTTAGTACATTGTACTATCCCAGTAAAAAGACAAAATTTAGACAAGCCGGAAGTACAAACCATAAAAAAAACGGTGGTTGGAGACAGTGAAGTGCGGGTAGTGCCCGAAATAATAGTGGAAATAGGGAGCAAGCAATGTGTAGCGTTAGTTGATACGGGTAGTGAGGTAACCTGTGTTTCCGAGGACTTATGGACCTCGTTAATTAGCGCAGGATTACAGGCCCCAATTCTACCTGTCGCTGCGACTCAACTACGTGGCGCCATGGGACAACGGAGTCATCGAGTAAGCCTCCAGGTATTTTTAGATATTAAGATAGACAAACATTTAAACTGTAAGGTGGTAGCTTTAGTGGTAAAGAACTTAGTTAAGGAATTAATATTAGGTACCGACTGGTTAATGGACAATGGTGTAATTATAGACTTTTCTGCTAAAATAATTAGAATTAAGGATAATATTAAGGATCATAGTATTAAGTTTAATAGTATAGAAAAGTCTTTATGTTCTTTAGATATAACGTCAGTAGACATTAGTTCTTTAATTGCCAATATTAATATTAGCGATAGAAACATTAATATAATTCAACAACTTCAGGAAGTTGTAGAAGTGTTACCGGTTGACACGGACATTAAAAATAAATTATTCGTCATTCTTAAGCGGTTTTCAACAGTTTTTCATCCGAACCCAGGACTTACGGATAAATACACTCATAAAATTAAGATGCTTACCGAGACCCCATTCATACGACGACCGTACCCCGTACTCTTTGCATCGAGGTCCGCTGTCGAGGTCACATTGGGCGAGATGGAAAGGTTAGGCGTAATCGAACGTAGAGCTTCTCCGTTTGCGAGCCCAATGACAGTAGTTAAAAAGAAAGATGGAACCGTGCGTATATGTTTAGACGCGCGGTGGATCAATGCCCAGATGGAGGCAGACGCCGAGACGCCACCGCCGATAGACGAATTACTACAGCGGTACCATGGAATCTCTTATATATCCACCATAGATCTCCGATCATCGTACTGGCAAATCCCACTAGACGCAGATAGTCAGAAATATACGGCTTTCTTGTACAACGGTCGTAGTTTTGTGTACAAAGTTCTGCCGTTTGGATTAAAAACTGCGGTAGGATCATTTAGTAGAGCGATGGATATAATATTAGGACCAGAAGTTCGTGAATTTACCACGAACTACATCGACGACTTGTTAATAACATCGCGTACGTTGGAAGACCACTTAAATCACATTGCCGCTGTTTTAAGTAGACTGGAGGACGCCAATATGACAGTAAATTTAGAGAAAACCCATTTTTTTCAAAAATCCGTGCAATTCCTCGGGCATGTTTTGACACCTGCTGGAATACACCCAGATGAGGATAAGATTAAAGCGATAAGAGCATTCCCTACTCCACAAAATGTGAGACAGTTACGGGCATTTTTGGGTCTCTGTAATTATTATAGGCGATTTAGTCAAAAATATAGCGCCGTGACAAATCCCTTAAATAAATTACTAAGAAAAGAGTTGAAATGGCAATGGGGTAGAGACGAACAGGTGGCTTTCGATCAAACGAAATAGTTATTCTTAGAAACAGTGCTGTTGCGGCATCCTGATCCAAAGAAACAGTTTTTTGTACAAACGGACAGTTCGGGATATGCAATGGGAGCTGATTTATATCAGGAAGCACCTGATGGAGAACATTTGGTTCTGGCATATGCGAGTAGATCGTTAAGAGGACCCGAGTTGAATTACATGACTACGGAAAAGGAGTTATTAGCCGTGATTCATGCGCTACGTAAATTCCGAACACATATTCTGGGAAATACAATTACCATCCGAACTGATCATCAAGCATTAAAATTTTTATCAAAATGTAAATTAGTTAGCGAAAGAGTTGCGCGATGGACTTTATTTCTTAATCAATTTAATTATACTATAGAATATGTGAGAGGAAAGGACAACACGGTCGCTGACGTGCTGTCTCGCTATCCGCATGACGCGCCGCTGCACACTTCGTTTAACAACCAACCGCTCGTCGCGTTATTAGGGGTAGCTGCAGTTAAGAAAATCGTCACGTTTCAGGCAGATAACGAAGAAAATGTAAAGTTAGCTTTGAAACAGCTACATGACCGACAGCAGGCCGACCCGATCCTAAAAGAAATCATAGATTTCTACAAGAGTAACAGACCCATCCTAAAGCTTGAGGCGAAGCGGATCCATAGAAATTACGAATTAAAGGACGGAGTCCTATTTTATTTAAACCCGAATAAAAGTAACGAGAAAAGAATTGCCATACCAACTGATTTAGTTGCCGATTTCATCTGGTACTATCATTATACTTTAGGACATTTCGGCTCCAGTAAATTATATGCGATTTTAAAACAATGTTATTATTGGGGTAACATGTTAGACACAATTAAGAAAACGATTCGTACCTGTGACTTGTGCCAAAAATGTAAATATCCTAATAAACATCTGTTAGGCAAGAATAACCCAATTTTAACAAAGGAACCGGGACAGCTAGTAGCTGTGGATTTCTTTGGGCCACTACCGGAAGGGCGAGGAAAAGCGGCATACGTCTTTGTGGTCATTGACACTTTCAGCAAGTTTGTTAAATTGTATCCGATGCGGAAAGCGCAAGCCAAGGTAGCCGCAAAAAGAATGGTAGATGATTACATTAAATACATTCCTTGTAAAACCATTTTAAGTGGTCATGGTACACAGTTCACCTCTAAAGTGTGGGTAAATACTTTACAAGCCGCAGGAGTTTCAGTAACATACTCTTCGATACGCCATCCCGCCTCGAATCCTGCCGAAAGAGTTATGAAAGAGTTAGGCCGACTCTTCCGTACGTACTGTCACGAGAAACATGCAGGTTGGGCCCATCATATAAACAATATAGAGGACTTGTTTAACAAAATCCCACACCTAAGTACGAGGTACAGTCCATATGAAATAATCTTTGGTCATAAACCCAACTACCAGCTAGACCATTTAACGCAAAAGTATTTACCGTCTAAACAACCACAAAATAAAGAAGATATGTATAAAAACGTTCGAGACAACCTACAACAAAACGCGGTACAACGTAGTAAACAAACAAAAGGCCAAGACGAGTTAAACATAGACGATTGGGTATTATTAAGAACAAACCCAATTTCAGAGGCAGCAAGTAAGTTTATCGCAAAGTTCGCGCCACTGTATGACGGTCCGTTTAAAGTCATCGCAAAACCGCATCCTAAAGCCGGATTTATAGTTCTTAAAAGTAGGAGTAGCAGTAGCAGTAAGCAAGTGTTGCCAATATAATAATATAAATGCTGCAATGTGATTGGCTGGAGTAGCGTTCAGTAGCAACCAAGGTCGTTGGCGTAAGAGATGACCAAGTTTTAACTTTTCTTACTTCTACTCCTACTCCAGCCAATCACATTGCAGACATTTATGAAGACATTTATGTTGGCAGCACACAGTTGGTACTTTAATCCCTACTTAGCGTCTTGTTTTTGTTTTTTATTTTGTTTATCTAAGTTTAGTTTGGTTTTTTTAAGTTAAAGTGTTTGTTAAAGTGTTTTGTTAATATAATGGATATAGGATTATTTATATTATTAATCCAATCATTTCCGCATTTGTGGAACCTAAGAAACAAAGACTTTAAAAATGCGGAAATGAAGGAGCAAAGTTGGCTTCAGTTGGCGGCGACCATGGAATGCACTGGTAAGATATCATTTTAAATTGGGTAATATATTTTATGTTCAATATTTTACAGTTGCTGAATGTCAAAAGCAATGGAAGAGCCTAAGGGACCGCTACTCAAAAGAGAAGCGAGCTCTACCCTCAGGCTCTGGTAGTGGTGGGTCCAAGTGGGAATTTTTTAAAGCCCTAGCCTTTTATGACAGCTGCTTGGTTCCCAGAAAGTAAGTTGTGATCTAATATGTGATTAAATGACTTGTACCTAACTGTATTGTGCACTACCAGGAGGACGTCAACAACAAAAAGATTGCCTGCAGAGGTGAAAGAGTCCTCTACAAGCAAGGAGTCCATTGAGGGGAGCCCTTGGAGCTCTCTCCAGCAAATGATACCAGCTGAGGAGTCTTTATTCGAGGTCAATGAGGAGTATGAGGAAGAATCATTTAGCCAAGATGAGCCTCTCTATGAGTCGCAGCCACAATCAATGCCTGCTACCTCTGCGTCCCTGATGGCTGTAATGCCCTCTACATCCAGGACATCAACCTCCAGGATATCTACTCCCTCGACCTCTGGGGCAGCAACCCCCTCAACTTCTGGTACAGCCACCCCCTTGACCTCTGGAACAGCAACCCCCTCGACCTCCAGGACAGCAGCCCCTGTGACCCAAAGTGGTAAGTTGAACTTTACTTTCTTTGTTGTTTAGCAGAGTTCATAGAAAACTTGTTTAAAAGCAGTCAGTAGCAGTAGGTTAATAATTATTGATAGGAGCAATTTTTTTGACCTTATAATTACGAACACGCTTAAATTCACTAACTAAAGACCCATTTATTCGCAGACTAACATAACCTTTTGTTGTAGGAAGAGGAAAAAAACGCAAGGCTGCCCCGGAAGTAACCGAGTTTATGGACATTGCTCGGAATCTTTCAAGCCGCGTCGATAACTATGTGGAGCAGCGGCCTGGTGGGGTGAATACTACAGTAACCAGCTATATAAGGGAGGTCCTGGATTTGTTGGATGCAAACAGAGCTCGTAGCTTGAGGAGGGCCTTGCTGCAAATGGTGCATGAGGCAGATGATGATTATATGGAGGAGATGATGGCCAAAAAAAATAAATAGTTTATTTATTTGTTTACTTGTATTTCTAAGTATATATAGAAATATATATAGAATACAAATAAACAAGTAAATAAGGGAAATTCAAATATATATATATATATATATATATATATATATATATATATATATATATATATATAGTGTGACCCATTTGTTTGCAACTCACCCCTGTAGTAAAATCTTTTTTATTGTGCGATTTTTACCGGATTTGTTTTAAATTGTAGATCTTGATAAACTGTATTTTTGGAGCAAAAAACGCTGAACATGGTACTATTACTATAAGTTTAATTTTATTTCAATGTTTTTTTCATGAATAACTTGACAGAATAAATTTTTGTAGTTATTGTGCATTTTTCAATAAAATTTATTAAGGGTCGTTTTAAGGGGTGGTGAATCCAGAGCCGTGATTAGATTTTGTTTAAAAAATCGCTAATATGAATTCTTACAAATTTACTCTTAAAAACTGAAATATTAGGCCTTGTATTTTTTACTAATATGGCGTCTTTTGCTCCAAAAATACAATTTATCAAGATCTACACTTTAAAACAAATCCGGTAAAAATCGCACAATAAATAAAGATTTTACAGGGGTGAGTCGTAAACATATGGATCACACTGTATATATATATATATATTTTTTTTTAATAAGTAGGAAGGAGTTATATAAATTTTAAATGAGTAAATTATTGGTTAAAGGGCTATTGACTTAGGTCCTTCTGCCCATTTAGAACTTGAATAATATTTATTTCTACAATGTATATAAAAAAATTGGTTTTAATAAATATTTAACTGCGTTACTGAAATTTCTTGTTTGTTTTATTAAAAAAACTTGTATATATTGTTGCTTTTGCAGGTCCTATGGTCCTAGTTATAAATATCACAATTTGTTACAATAAAAAAGAAAATAAAAGACTAAAAATATGCTTTAAAAAAGTTTAATTTAAAATAGTAAAGACAAAAGGAAGAAAAATATAACTTTTTTACAAAAAAAAAATTAAAACAATACTATATTGAAATTTTTAAAAATTAAAAAATACCTATTTACAACTTAATCTAGTCCTGCGGTTCAGTGCCTTGCAACACTCTATCCATTTGCCAAGGTAGTTGCCCTGTGGCTGACATAAAATATTTTGTTAACGACACGCGTAATTCATAGGTTTGCCTTGCTGCATTATTCGCAGCTAAACGTCCCACGGACCGCAGCGGCGCATCGACCTCAGCTCGCCAGCCACCATTGTCTTCGTCATTGCAGTCCACATATCCTGGAGGACAATAGGAGGCTTGCGGATTCCTACCAATACTATTTGCCTTGCAAAAATTGTGTAGCACCACACACGCTTTTACAACAGTATCCACATTGTCCACTTTGCAACTAATCATGTTTGTTAATTACGCCCTGGGTAGGGGCGCATTATATAGGGCTTCAGTGGAAATGCTTCATCCCCAACCAACCAGTATGGAAGTGGCTTATTTATGCCCGGAATTATTTCTGGTGGTGGCACATTCATTGTCCCATCCTCAAAATTCATGCCAAAGTTGCTGTCGCGAAACACACCCCCATCACTTTGAGACCCATATGCTCCAATGTCCACCAATGTAAACATATAATTGGCATCGCATGCAGCCATCAGGACAATACTAAATGTTTTTTTATAATTAAAAAACTGCGAGCCGCTTTTTGCTGGACACTGGATGTGGATGTGTTTTCCATCAAGAGCCCCAATGCAGTTTGGAAAATTCCACAAACGAAAAAATTCCCTGGCAATAGCTTTCCACTCCTGATGAGTGGATGGTGTAGCCAAATGTATTGGTGACAACACATCCCATATGGCAGTGCATGTTTTAATTATAATTTTTTGTACCGTGGCATGACCCATTTGATGCTGCCAAGCTAAATTTTGCATTGTACCACCCTGGGATAAGAACCTGCAATAAATTTAATAAATGTGAGTGATTACATAGTTTATATTAAATAAGTACTTACAGCAAAGTAATTGCCAGTCTTTCCTCGGCTGAGATGCTGTCAGGCAGTGCTCGCTTACTTATGAGGGGGGTAACTTTGTTTAGCAGGTGGTTAAAAACTGGGACCGTCATTCGTGTATGTTTAAAAAATTGTTCCTCATCCCTTAATTTCATTTTTTAAAAATGTTTAAAATGGCCCTTTGTGGCACGTTCCCTGTTTATTGGCCTTGTTTTATATCGACGCACCCGACCACCTTGCTGATGAAGCACCGCGGCAGCACATACCAATACCCCAGTTAACGCAGCAATGGTCAAAAAGAAGGTATCATCCTCCAAAACCATGTTTTTCACAAAACAAAATCACAGATTGGAAAATACTATATTTATACAAACTAAACTCAAAACTAAATAAATCTAAGTCCAAACAAAAACGAATAGAAAATTAGAAAAAATGCTTAATAAATATTTATAAACTTGACGCCACAGACAAACTGTGCTTGACGCTTCAAATGTCACCAGAGATAAAGAATGTCACTAAAAAAATGACAATCTGTCCCAAATTACGCATGCGCGGTCATTACTACTACTGCTACTTTTTAGAACTATAAATTGTAAAAATTAGCTACGGCTACTCCTACTGCTACTGCTACTCTTACTGCTACTGCTACTCCTACTTTTAAGAACTATAAATCCGGCTTAATACATATAAGTTAGCTAACGTTACGGATAACGCAGGTTAAGGCACATACAAAATAACTAACCTAAAATTTTATTACCGCCCTATAGATCCCACAGTTTAAAACATAAAAATAATAATAATAATAAATAGACAAGCAAACTAAGTAAGTAACCGTTCCCCACTTTTGCAATAAATAAATAAATAAATAAATAAAAAAAAAACAGACTAACAGAGAAGTCCAACTAGGTGCTTTATATTTTATTACAAACGTTAGTTCGTATTAAAATATAGGGGGTGACTGAAATGGTTGGACTTCCCTAACGCCTGAAAGTATAAAACCCGTAATACAATTTTAAATTTGAAAATAATATTTTATTTCGTTTGCTTAAATAAGTCATCTAAGGAAAGTTTTGCTACAGAAATAAAGGCATCTGGTGATGTCAATACTGATAAACAACCACTTAAGATCTTTTGGAATGCAAAAGGGATCCTCCCAAGTTCAATATTCAGGGGGTGTCCGTGTATAAGATGCAAAATTAAATTAGTTAAATTATATAAATAATAAACCGGTTACTTATACGAAAATACTATTACACTGTACTACAAGTACACCCCGCATTATGTTTGCAAGGAGTTATACCGCTCTACGGGACGTCCTTTTGTCAAATAATAAAGAAACAGTTTCTTGTAAATATTAAAATTTGTTATATAAATAGTTAGTTAGTTAAATAATGTGAACTTGTTTAGTATTAAGTTAGTAATAGTTTTAATTGTTATGTTCAATACAATTGTTGTAATTTAGTTTTAAGTTTTCAGTACCTAATCTTATTATCGGTCTAAAAACCGAATAGTTAAACTTGAATTTGTGTGTATTATTTTCTAAAGTAGTACCGAAGTCGGTACTATGCTAATTGTTAAATTATTTTATTGTAAAAACCAATATTTCGGAAAAAACCAATCAACCAGTACAAAAGTTGACCAAGGGCACACTTAAAATTATTAATTATTTGACTGGGACACTAGACTACAAAAATATCTATCTCAAATGTCTTGAGTGAACAAGTAGTTTATTTAAGTTTATTATTAACCATTTGAGGATCGTAATCAACGAGTAGACTCGAAACTACAGGTATGCCAAAACATGTTATCATTGTAATTGTTTTTCCAACGTAAAGAGAGTAAGAGCCATTTCATAAATAAATTAATGAATCCGGGATATCTACCTGCCTACAGTCAGTTAAATCAGGTGACAACACTCTAGTACTACTGATGTTAAACTATTTCAATTTCCACCAAATAAATACCACATCAGGCATATATTGACGGTAGGATCTGCAACGGAAGTCAATATAACATTTTCTTAAAAGTATATAGACACCTTGCATTATTAATTGCTTGCATGGACTAAACGCTTGTTGTAAGGCTGTCAATATACTGCTTAATCGCGTTCAATCTGGGAGTGTGATAATATTAAATTGACAATACATCCTGTACCTTCCGATATCCTGTAGGCTCAGCGGAAAAGGCTAGTCCCAACGATGGAACACCAACATTGAAACGATTCCCACCGAAAAGCTATAGGCAACCACATAAAAGAGCCAATAAAGGCAATCCTTCCCAAAAAAAAAGAAAACTTCATAAATATTAACACCCTCCCGCAGAGACTAGTGTTGATATGTGAACTGATGAAAAGGTACTAATAAACACATACCTACTTCAACAACAAAATAAAAAAATAAATAAATAAACAGAGGCAACTCTCGATCGTAACGATCGTCAACAATATAAACAATAAAAGAGGCCCATGCCCACTGGAAATCGAAATCGAATTACACCCGTGCATCGATTTGATTCTATAATAAAAAAAGGTTTTACCATTATCCTTCCCTTTAAGGCAGGGTAACTGTCACCTGACTTTATGGCTGACGGCAAGCTTCTTGTAATCCTTCGTCTTAAACACCGACTCGGGCGCCAGGTCAACGACCTTGGCAGTTTACTGTTAAAAGGGGCATAAACGAAACATTGGTTTTAGCAGTTGCTTTTGTTCTCTTTAATATAAATAAATAATATGGTTATAAACATTTGTTTGATTGTTTGTCACTCTTCCTACTTTATTACGACGAATCTGGGCTAGACGTATTCTTGGCCAAATTTAAGGTAAATATAGGTATTAAAGGGTAAATTATTTAAACACAACGTAGACCGGGTCCTTTCCATTACAAGTATAAGTCAGCATTTGCGAAAAAATTGTCTACAAAAGATTTAGTATAAATGTATTTTGGATCCGTGGTAGTAAATAAAACCTGTTATTTTTAAAATAACTTTTTTTATTTCAACTTACAGTATAAATTATACGAAAATTTCAGAAAAAAAATAATAAAACATGTACTCTGTAACACAAAATCTATAAGTGATGGAAAATTTTTGAACTCAAATTCGTAATCAGGACAACTCAAATACCCCTACAGACCTCTTAGCACATCAGTCGCAAATTTTTCCTTCAGATTTGTTGAGTAGTGTTATTATTGACTGTTTTACTATTTTGCATCAAGTAACTTGCGTTTGTTGATGTGATGCTTAAGCTGGGTCCACATTAGTAAAAAATTACGTTGTATGTCGAATTCACAATGCGGCACAAATTTTTGCGCCGGAAATGTGCTATAAATGTTGCATAAATATTTACGCTGTGCAACGTGCGTTCTTGCTCAAAACGTGTGTTGTTTGAGGTTAGGTTTTTGTTTAATTTTATTTTAATAGTTTATTCGTCAATTAACAGCCTAGACAAAGATTCTAGGTCTAGGATTAACAGTTTAATAAGTTTAATAGTTTATTACAATGAATTTAAACAAAGACGACGTTCTTCTTTTAATACAAGAATATGAAAAACATAGACTTTTATGGGATCCAAAGGATAAGTGGCATTTTAATAAAAATAAAAAAAATGATGCTTGGGACGATATTGCAAAATGCGTCGAAATAGATGTGGAGGACGCAAAAAAGAAAATATCGAGCCTTTTGGGTTCATTTAGGAGGGAAAAGTCGAAAGGTCGTAAAACTTTAGGAACCGGTAACTACTTTTAGATTCAAATAAATTGTGAAATTTTAGGCGCAAAAGACATATACAAATCAGATTAGTTTGCATTTAAATCTTTTGATTTTTTAATGGACAAGGATGATCCAAGACAGACAATCTGCTCAGAAGAATCAGAAGATGTGAGTAAATTTTTTTATATGTATAAAAATATTTTATTTTAATAGTGAATATTATAAAAAATATTTATATTTATGCATAATTATTTTGCCATGGAATAACACCTGTTGTAGTAAAATATTCTGCAAATTCCTTCCTAACATCTTTGGCTTTGACAGTTGCTCTGCGTGGAACATTTCGAATATTTTCAAAATGGAATTTTTGCAAATTTCTCCAGCTTCCTGGTATTACTTGCCCTTCTACTTCAGTATCTGCAAGTCCAGGTGGAAAATAAATATTATGAGATGTCTTGCTTTTTTTTAAATAGTTATGCAGACATACTATTGCCATAACTATTTTTTCAGCTTTATTAGGTTCCAAGAGCATTGGCTTCCTCAACACCCTAAATATTGATGAAATAATTCCAAACGCGTTCTCAACAACTCTTCGAGCTCGGCTAAGTCTGTAATTAAATATTCTTTCTATTGACCCTCTTGGATGTGCTCCTGAATATGGTTTCATGATGTTCTCGGTAAGTGGAAAAGCATCGTCGGCGATAATTACATATGGCTTTTTGCCTTTCAGGAAGAGGTTTACTTATTGGCAAGTTCAGTATATTGGCTGTAATTTTACGATAAACTTCACTATTCTGAAAAACTCCCCCATCTGAAATCCTTCCTTGGCATCCAATATCAACAAACAAAAAATTGTAATTAGCATCGACAAGCGCAAATAACACTATACTAAAAAAACCTTTATAGTTATAAAATTCACTTCCACTATTTATTGGTGCTTGAAGAGTTATATGTTTTCCATCCATAGAACCAATACAATTAGGAAAATTCCATTCCGTCTCCAAATTTTCTGCAACAGTCAACCATTCTTCTGGTGTGCTAGGCATCTGAAATTAAAGAAATTAAATAAACATACATAATACTAATGTATTTTTTTTAGGGTGAAACATCTACATCTAATTCAACTGAAATCCCTGAATCCCAAGAAGTTGGACCCGAGTGCTCGTTAATAAGAAATAGTTCAATAATAGAGGATACTCAAGAAAATAGTACTAAAAAAAAGCTCCCAAAACTGGAGAAAAGGCATCGACATTAAATTTTGTAAAACCTTCCACTCCAAGGAAAAGAAAGGCGACAGAAAAAGAAGATCCCCGCATTGAAGAAGCGTTCAAAATACTACAACAACCCATACAAGAAGACTCATCTACTTTGTATGCAAAATATTTGGCGGACCAACTTAATAAATTGAATCCAAAAACCATTGTTATACATAAAATCAATAATATAATTTTTGAGGCCACAATAGAAACCTATGGTACCATACCATCTACGCCAAGTTTAATATCTTCCCTATTCGCTTCTCCAACCAATACATCTCTTTCTTCACCTGCATCCCCGCCACCAATTTCCATTGAAGTTTTGGACACAAGTAATGTGATTACTGAAGTTCCACAAATTCACGCATCAGCAAACGAAAACAGCCAATTAACCGAAAATGTAATAGAAGATTTACAAGAGTTTGTCTACATGGTGCAGCCTTAACATAAGTATTTGTTATTATTTTTTATTTTTCATTTCGCGCCTACCTAATCCTAGTGTGCAATACACGTATAAAAATGCTAATTAATTCTTTATTTCTTACCTTTACATAGTCCTTTAAAACATCAATTAAAGCCTGGCATACTTCTGAAACTATCCGCGATATGCTTTGTTTCGATATTTTGAAGAGATATTGAAGACTTGTGTATGAATCACCAGTAGCCAGAAAACGTAATGTGACAGCGAATCTTTCCTTCACAGATATTGCTTCGCGAAACTTTGTGTCCTTTTTAGAAATTTTCCATTCAATTTTATTTATCAAAAAAAATTATCATGTACAGACATACGCAAAAAATTTTTGAAATGGCCGTCACTTTCATCAAAGGAGAGTACATTTAATAGCTGTGCACCATCAAATAGTTTTTTTCTTCAATTTCTTTTTCTTTGTTTTCTTTATAAGATGATGCAAGACGATAAATGCAGCACATTTTCTTTTCATTATTGCAGACATAGTACAACCATTGAGTAAGGTGGGTCTTACTCAATGGTACAACACAGATCATATAAACGTTGGAATTAAATTTAATAAAAAATAATTTGACAGAATCAATGTGTTCACGAAAAGTACCTACGTCCACACTAGAACAATGTGCGGCGCAAATTTCTTTGATGTTTTGAGAAAAACCGGCAAGCAACGGATCTCGTGCGTTGAATGTGGCAAAAATTTTTGCGTACGTAGTTATGCGGCACACAGGTACACACTTACATACGTAACGACGACGTAAATTTTTACTAATGTGGACCCAGCTTTACATACTGCAGATGTGATCTTTTTGTTGGCAGACGTTGTTCGTTTCTCCAGTCCCTTGTTTCCTTAATTTTTCATTTAAATGCTTACATTTTCACGTCTTAAGTCCACTAAAAATTTAAATGTTATTACTTACTTTTCTATTCTGAATTAACAGGTTTTGGTTATAGCCGTTGGTTCCTTAGTACGATATACATACCTTTTCTTTTGTTTATAATCATTAAACATAAATTCTTTCGGTTGTTTTTAAATGTCAAAATTAGAATTTACTTTGAAAATACAGACTTTGGCTATTCAAGTATAGATGGCACTTTATCTTCTCGGAAAGGTTTATTTTGTTATGACGACGTTTATTTTTCTTTTGTGACAATAATTATATTTTGATTGGCTTGTCTTTTGTTTTATGTTGATAATTATAATTAACGGTTAATTGATCGTTAATGATTCCTCTTTGTATTTGTTTTGGAGTTTGCGCGATCCTTTAAAATTTCATATCCTGATGACGTGTTTCCGGCCTCTTCCTTCTTCTTGCGAATGTCAATGGAAGCGGTGTGTCGCTTTGAAGCAGTTTTAAAAGTTAGAGTTTCTGTGTTGAAAATCCAGTGCATTTTGCGTAAAAGGATCTAGAAAAGTTCGTTGATGGGTTCCAACGTTGGCGTGAACTCTAGAAGCGTCTAGTTTTACGATTTCAGCAAAAACACACCGGCATGACGTCCTTTAACCTTTAAAACTGGTGAGTCCTTCCAACTTTATTTAAGTCATCGGTCTTTAATTTCGATCGTTTATTGTTCCAAATACCATCTCAATACCTGGATAGAAATATTACCTGAACTTGACATTCGTATCCCTCTCCTGCGCGATGATTCTATCTAAGCCGGATTGTGTAAATCCGTAAGTACATGGAGGTTTTGTTTGAGAAAATACCCAGGTTTTTTCTTTTAGGGCTTTCACCATACGTTTAGATTCCACTTTACGGTTAGATTCTACCGTACAGTTAGACTTTACCTTACAGTTAGGATTTTGAGCTCCAAACACCGTTTACCAACAACAACATTTCACAGTCGTTTGACATCAACAACATTTTACTGCCGGAATGTCACCGCTGCATCAACTGAACAAGGAATAGAACCTTAAGTACCTTTTTTGTTAATTATTTTGTGTAGGACGTATGAGCTTCTTAACCGTTTTGCGTTTTAAACAAATATTATCATTACAGTTCTTTGGACAAACGTATACACGGTAATTTACTTCTGAGAAAATTATATCTCACCGTTATTAATAATAATAATAATAATAATTTATTTCATTACAGGTACAATTACAGCAAAAAACTTACAATAAAATACAAAAATGAAAACGTCACATTAAAGATTTTTGTTTAAAAAAACATATCTTAAAAGAGAATAAATATAAATAAATAATATTTGACTAAAAGATATATCAAAAGTTTGAAGGAGGTTTACGATTCAAAAAATTCATTAATACTGTATGATTCTAATTGACATACATATTTAAATAATTCTTTTTTAAAATTATTAACATTTGCAATAATTCTAAGTCTTTCAGGCAATTTGTTAAAAATATTAATACATGAATAGTAACATCCTTTTTGAGATATAGAAAGACGATGTGCAGGATATTTTAAGTCTTTTGTTCTCTTAGAATGCAGTTTGGCATCACAGAAAATAGATTTATTATTCCACATAAAGATTAAAATTTCATAAACATAAATACCAGTCACAGTAAGCAGATTATTAGCTTTAAATACACCTCGACATGAATCTTTATAATTTAAGCCCAAAATTGTTCTGATCACACTTTTTTGATGAATAAAAACATCACCAATACCCGTACTTTGGCCCCAAAATATTATACCAAATCTTAAAATAGATTGATAATTTGCTAGATACACCATTCTTAAAGTTTTGGCATTAACGTAAGTTTTTATCATTTTTAAGGAGAAATGTACCTTATTTAGTTTGTTTGTCAATTCATTTATGTGTGGCGCCCAACACAAATTTTCATCCATGACTATACCTAGAAACTTTGTATTATTTGTAAATTCTGTATTATAGTTGTTTAGTTGTATATTATTTGGTGTAATAAAGTTTGATCTTTTGGTTTTGAACATAATGCAACTTGTTTTTGTTTTATTCAAATACATACTATTTTCCAAAAACCAGTTATTGAATGTTGAATACAATAGTCTACATTCTCTTTCTAGATTATTCAAATTTGAGGATGTAAGAAATAAATTTGTGTCGTCTGCATAGTTTATTGTGATGATTTTTTTGTACTATTAGGGTACTTAAGTCATTTACATAAATTACAAACAAAATTGGACCTATCACACTGCCCTGGGGTATACCCAGTTTTAAATATATATGATCCGATAAAGTTTTTACATTTTTATTGACTAGTTGTACTCTTTGCGGCCGGTTTGCAAGGTAGGATCTAAACCACTGCAGTGCATGATCCCTCACACCATACATCTCCAGCTTATTTAATAATATTTCGTGGTTTAAGCAATCGTATGCTTTGGATAAATCTAAAAATACGCCAAATGCATATTTATGTTCTTCAAATGCTATTGACCTGCCTCTTAAATAACCATGTTGGCTAGTGCTAAACAGATTACAATATTAAAAAAAGTCAATCAATCTATTACACATAATATGCTCAAAAATTTTTGAAAAACTGGATAGCAAACTAATAGGTCTATAGTTATTTAGATCAGTTGGATCACCTTTCTTTAAGAGAGGTTTTACAGTTGCCATTTTTAGTGCTTCGGGAAAGACACCAAATCTTAAAGAATTGTTAATAATAAAACATAAAGGGCTAGATAATTCAATAGCACAATATTTAATGAGGGAATTTGACACTTCATCTGGGCCACAGCTCTGTTTGTTCTTTAATTTACTGATTACATTAAAAATCTCCTCAACTGTGACTGGTTTTACATACATAGATTTAACATTACAATTAATATTATTATTAAACCCATCCATTTCACAATTCTGGAAAATATCTTTGGTTATATTAGCAAAATGATGATTAATTTTGTTAGCATTTTCCAGGGGAGTACCTACAATTTCAATATCACTTGAAATTGTATTTCCACCCTTTAATGAGTTTACAATTTGCCAAACTGCCTTACTTTTATTATCAGATTTAATGATCTGTGTTTCATACCTTTCTCGTTTAAATTTTGTTAATAATTTGTTATATTCTTTCTTAGTTTCATTGTAGATTTGACTATATCTAGCATCACAGGTTTTTAAGGTCAATAGCACATCCAGTTGTTTTTTACACTCCACTATTTCTTTACTGTAATTATAATTCCGCTGTCGAAAACTTATATCTTTAAACACTCTTTGCGGAAAACACTCATTAAAACATAACTTAAAAATTTCCATAAACTGTTGCCACTGCCCATTTACATCTTGATTTTGACGATTACAAACAGTTTTCCAATCTTGGTTATAAATTTGTATCCTAAAGTTTTCTTTGGCACTTTGAGAAAAACATCTACAAGTTCTCCATTTGTTTTCTATTATTTTATCTGCAATGCATGTTATTTTTTGGCCCATGTGATCAGAGATATGGTAAGAGACAACTTTTGCTTCTATAAAATTACAATTCACAAATATATTGTCCAGGCAAGATTTTGAGTTGTTAGTTATCCTTGTATATTCATCAATTGTATGTTTTAGACCATACGAGTTGCATAAAAACAGGAATTGTTTGCTTACACTATTTTGTTTTTTCTTTAGGCAAATATTAAAATCACCCATTAAAAATATATTGCAATTATTAAACACAGTTAAAGTTTTTTTTCTTTTAAAATATAACATCAACCCTTTTTCAGTGCAGTAAGATGTTTGATTTAGTGATCGATAAACCCTTTAAAAAAACTTTTAAATGATCACTTGGCGCCCACAAGGTAAGTTGTTGTTGACTTAAAAAAAACCACATAGACCCACTATACTCAGCTCTCCGCAAGGTTTAAAACATGAGTAGCCGTTCGCAAAAATAGGTATCAACAAAAACCCGAACGCTACATGGTTATAGTAATTATTTAAGCAACAATTAATTGTAATGCTATATTCGTAAGTCTTAAAACCTTAAAATTTACAAACTTACCACTTTTACTAACTCTACTGGAATTATAATAACCTACAAACCACACGCCACT